TTTTCCTCAAAATATGATAATTTTGAGCTGCTGATATGATAATTCAACATTTCCCATCAGGTAAAACTGCCACTTGTAACCATATATACCAAAGTTTTAACTCAAGTTGCTTTGATTTTGCAAAGCTGCAAAGTTGTTGAACTTTAGACAAATTATAATGAAATAGATAAAATGACTTGAAATGTTTATGATAGATATACTGTATTTTATTGCTTAGCTGTGTTTAGTCATAGGGAAATCTTTGCAAAGGTCTTAAATGGGGCATAAAATGCAAAATCCACTTTTTTAGTCCTTAAATACATTTTGTGTACTTAGTGTCTCTATTTTTTTTTACTCTATGAGTGACAAAAATATTACATCATAGTATTTTCCCAACAAAAGGCATAAACGTTACAGTTACCACTTTCACAAATCTGCAGTTCTGCAGGTTTGTTGTCTTCATTCACCTCTCGCTTTGGGTCAGACCCTGACTTGAACATGCAAGGCTGAATGGACGTTTCCGTCGTCCGTCGTTGACGTCATTTAATCAATTTGTATATATTAAGTTTATGTGCCACTGGTAATTCTAGAATAACTCAGCTGTCAAAGTAATGATCAGAGGGAGTGAAACCTGGAGGAGGTGGGGTGTGAAGTGCTTCATTTGCATTTCACACTTTCACATGTTGGATAATTTATATCGGTTTCTCTTTGCAGTTCTCATATTTCTCTTCTACTTTTCTTTTCTTCTTTACTATAGTAAAAAATAAACGTTTTCACTTATTTGTTTACTTTTCCATCTCTATGTCCGTTATAATGGATTAATCCTGAAATAATTTATAATAAAGGTTTCAAWATGCAGTATATCAAGTGGAGCATCATGGTGAAATGCCATTTTGCTGCACTTGTGAAAGTAAAACTGTTGGGCTTCATTTGAACACTCAGACATCGATTCTGAGTTACACATTGCCAGACAGGACAATTAAAAAGAAATAATAAATAAAATTAAAAGTAAATAAATAAATAAAGAGACCGCACCGCAACAAGTTAAGACTGGTTTATATTTTGAGTCGCACATCTTGTTCCCCCTGCTGAGTGACAAAAAAAGCATAATCTGTCTGCTCTCCCACTGCTATCCTCTGGTGACAGCCGTTGTGTACATTGCCCGCAGTCAGAGCTCTGCGACGTGGACCTTGCGGCTCAGAGCATGTGTTTGATCAGAACTTTGTGGGGTTGTTTGTTCATGAGGAGCAATGCAGCACTGTGGAGCAGAACCAGAGCAGGACTCAGAGCAGCTCTTCCTTCTGCAGGTTTTGTTTAAAACGATCTTTTCTCTTAAGCCAGTTGTTAAATTAGCTTGGAGAGCAGCTGGTTTATCTGTGAGTCTTTTTTCCCGCACCCGCCAATAATAATAATAATAATAATAATAATAATAATAATAATAATAATAATAATAATAATAATAATAAAAAACGTCTGTGGACTCTTCACCCAACACAGCACTGGTCATTGAGTGAAAATAAATAAATAAATAAATAAAAACATCCAGCCATCATGGCCCGCCGAGTCTTCAGTCGGTTTATGCTCGGTCAGGAAAAAGACGTCTGAAATTACACAATCACCAACCTGCTGTCTCACGTTGTATCAAAGTATAATCCAAGCTTTACTCTCTGATGCACCTCAGATAATGGGTGAAAGAGGGGTTTGTGGAGCTACAGGAACAATGAATTCAGACCAAAGCATTGCAGTTCCAAAAAAGCCTATGCTCCCTATAAACAAATGTTTAAAACTGAACTAAAATGAATATAAATAAGAATTCCAAGTATAACCTCATTACCACTTAAGAACATTTAAAAAATCACCTAAACTGGATTTTTGGACTTATGAAATATTTAATCTGAACTGTTTTACTTTCAGACAGAGCTATTAAATGTATTCCATTGATAATGATGAGAGTGGCATTCCAAATAAATTAACTAAGATGAATTATCAATGAGATATATTTTAGAAAGATTTTCTTTGCAAGGATTGCGGTCTTGGAGGTACTGATAATTGACCCTGMATTACAGACCAGATTTGTGAAAATCCTCGTCACTAACAATCCACTGGCAAAGACTGTCCCAGATTCAAGCTCTTAATGATTATTAGCCGATGGATACCTGGACAGTAGCCCAGTGTTATTGCTGTTCCGGCATCTTGGAAGCTTTTTCATGATGTCAATATTCAGCTTTGTCTGTAGCTCGCAAGCAGCAGGGCAACAACTCATAACTACGTATTCCTCTCTGCCTACATCATTGTCCACAAATCCACCGACTTCACTAGGTTCCACGGATGTATTAGGAGATTCAGTGTCTCGTGTGCTCTTCGCGTTACCAGCAATAAATCATTTGTCACCTTGTTCTCTTGCAGGGTGACAAAATCAATAACAGTTTATCCAGGGAGCAAGACCAAAGACCACTCATTCAGCTCCGTTCTGTTCAGACACTTCCACAAATACATCACACCAAAAATGCCACATAAGGCTGAATTTACTGGCAAGAAATAGGAAAACAAATAAACAAGACATGGCTGTTATGAGGTTGTACTACTGTTTAGTTTACAAAGAAGCTGTGAAACACTGATTGTGGTCAAGAGGATCATCGGGTAAAATTGAAGCTGTTAAAACTCTTACTGACTGATAATGAAGATCTTGGATAGCAGCTTTTTTTAAGCCACACAGGCCACTTAAAAGCCTCCCGATATTTAATTAGGTAGGTCTAGCTTTTATCACGGATTTTGAGCCTTTGTTGTCAAGTAAATTATCAACCCATAAAACAATGCTATTGCTATGTTCTTAGTTTGTGCCAAACTCAAGTTTCCCTATGTGTTTTTTGTCTTTAACCTATTCTTCTTTACACCCTCTTTTATATGTATGTCCACATGAAGGATCTTCTCTAAAACAACAACAAACAAATAAGTTATCAGTGTTCACAAGTGTTGCTGAAGGTGAAAACAGAAATGAATCCTTCTCTCACGTCTATTGGAAGAGGCCAAGTTGTGAGAAAGTGGCATCAGTAAAAAAGAAACAAGACACACTAGAATAAATAATAATAATAATGAAACAACACAAATGCCAACCTATTTATCTGGGGCTGTATTCAAGTTTTTTTGTTTTTTTTACAGAATAAAAAAATACTCATAAAGCTTTGCACGCAGTCAAAAAATTTTCTAGTGAAAAGCTGTGGTAAATGGCACTTTAGAAATCTGAACAATGCTCACTTAAAAGTAACAGAAAACTTGGCCTCAGTATGGAGGTTTAGTTTACAATGATAATATACACTTTTTAAAAACTCAGCAAAAAATGTGAAAATCCATCATCACAGAATTTTTGTCTTTCGTGTTTAAAGTACAAATTTTTGTTGATGTGATTTTAAGCAGTGCTTTGCTATCTTGAAAAAGGTTTTTAAAAATGTCCGACTTGTAGTGCCAACTCTGCAACTTTAATATATTTTATACTTAATAGACTGAACTAGACAGTGATATGTTTTCAGATTTCTGCAAACATGATTAGCTTTTAAGCTAAAGGGTTGCAAAACCAATCCTTTAATGTATCTATGGCAATTTTTTTTAAAAATAGCTATGATTTTCTATGAAAAAAATTACTTTCATGGGATGGTTTTATTCTTTCTAAATATTAATGTATACCTAAAAATAACTATTTTGGGGAGTTATAAAGTATTAGGCAGTGTGTTTTTTGTTTCATAATGTGACATTACATTAAAACTGTACTTGATCTGAATTGGTCAGAGCCTAACAAATTTGTTTTGCAGCTTTCAAAAGTTGAGAAAGAAGTTGGAATTCACAGCAAACTTGTGAGCTTCATTAGCTAAATGAGCCACCTGAAAGTCTGGATGAATCCAGAAGGTCTACATAATAAAACGAGCTGGCTCTGATACTTTGCTTTCTTCCTTGAWGGAATCCAAGTCACCATTGTGAATGCAATAGTACCTTGTTAAAGTGCACTTCATCAAAGTTGCCTTTGAAGTATTAGCTGACAGAAACTATTATGTGAAATCGACTTGACAGGTCTATAAAAAACATCTTGGGAAATTCTGAACAAAGCTATAGATAAGGATACACGAGGTGAAGTCAGGTCTCGCAGCTCTTTTTTAAATTTATCCCCAATGCTGTTGGCATTTAGAAAAAATGGTTCTTGGTGGTTTTGTACAACAAAAAAACAGCCTAATTGACCAAAGCTGCTCAACAAATGAACTGTTTTTTTTCTATTCTTGCTGTTGAACAGACTTTTTTATTGTCTTTTGTTTGTTTGCTTTAGATTTTTMAGTTAAAAAGGAAACAAGATGTGTCTTCTCATTTTCTTTAGCAGCGAGAGTCAATGGGACCTCTTTAACAGAGTGAAAGAAATCTTTGAAAAAAAAATAAACAGATGCAGCTCCAAGTTCAAAACAATGCTGAAAACCGTTATCTAGTTAAGTCATGTTACCTTGCATAAATGTTGTAAATTACTTATATCACAGTAAGTCTTGCATGTAATAACAATGTTATATTTACCACATTCACAATTCTTCAGATTTCACTTATCAACATAAAGCGGCAAATACTTTCATCTAAAATTAGTAAATATGTTGTTTGTTCTCTCAGTGTACTATTCTTCATCACACCATAAGTTAAAAATAAATTTCCCCTCCCTTTAAGGTTTATTCCACCCATACACCTTCATCTGTCTGTTGCAACCCAATGTTGTTCATGATGGCAACATATTTTTCGTGAAATATTTTGCTTTTTTTTCTCTTTACAAACTACAGTAAACTCGGTGCTCATTCAGGCTACACTAATAGGAACAGAAATGTAACTCTTTGTCTTTTATGACACAAATGTCTTTGTGTATGTGTACCTGCTCCATCAGGGAGTAGAGTTAATTTCCCAGCCTTTCTCCTCAGTAGCTCTAGGAAAATGGACCTAAATGAAACCRAAATTTATAAATCCTGGCATGAGTCATTCTGAAACACTTGTTCCTCCCACAGTGTCCTCCAGGGTTGAGTCCAATGAAGGATGGGACCGGGTGCTATGACCACCACATCGGCATCGACTGCTCTGACGGCTTCAATGGTGGATGTGAGCAGCTGTGTCTCCAACAGCTGGCCCCTCTAGAGGATGACCCGACACTCTACAACATCCAGATGTTTTGTGGGTAAGAAGGAACACAGTCAGCAGTTTAGATCCATAATTACAGTAATTATTACAGCTCATAATCTTGTCATGTTGAGAGTTGTCATCACTACTTTGACAGGCTGCCGCACAAGGTGTGACGAAACTTTAGAGGTGTCTTTAGCACTTTATTAGCACAGGAATTAACATATTCATACACTTAGACAATTTATATTACCATTATCTTTTACAAAATAGTATTCTCATTGATTTTTCCTTAATTTATTTTTGTGCGCAAGTCAGTCTTAATTCATGGAAATCCATTTTTTTCTTTTTCCGTGAAAGCCTCTSATTTATTTATTTTCATTTTTAGTAYATAAAAATAGCATTAGTGYCTTATCAATACCATTTTAWCTGCCATTTAATGTAAGAAAGATTRTTTCTATCTTAATCTRAAAGTGAGATATTTGGGTCAGCTAATGAGTTTAAAAAACTGCTTAATATCTTAGAAGGTCCTCAGGCTATCAGTCAGGACTGTGGAGCCAGTATCTCTATGATGTTAGCTGCTATCATTGAGGAAAACGTTTGTATCTGTGTGCATCAAAAAAAAAAAAAATCCACTCCAAATATTGAATATTTACAATTCCTATTTCTACTGAAAATCAAACWAAATCAGTTTTATATTGATGCAGTGACAAAAAACAAGATAAGATGTTGCTGCCGACTTGAAGTTGTTYTACACTAGTGTTATTTGATGATTTCTGATTTTGCTGGGGAAATGTTTACATTTCAGTTCAGTCCAAATGAAAAATGTCAAAATGCAGTCAGTTTTCTTCCAATATGTAACAATTATATACAGTTTTATTCAGGCCAACTACAATCAAACTCCAAATAATGCATGACATTATGTGATAGTTCCTTATTTTTGAATGAAAATGGCTGCATRTTAGTTTAGAGGTCTATGGATGCTTTCACGCTAGAGCTTCATTTTAAATGGACCACAATTCCTTTCCTGGATAGCCTTCTTCATTTGGGCAGGTGTGAAAGCTCATCTGAAMTATGGTGCAGAACAAATAAAGGAACTCTGGTTCACCTGAAAATGTGGGTCTCAGTTCAATTGTAAGTGAACCCTTGCGCAATTTATTTAGTGTGAAATGTCAACAGACTAACCAGTGAATCAAAGTGAGGAAGTGATCCAGAGAAAGGGAGTGATGTAGTGTGCTTCATGTTAAAAAAAGTAATTAGATTTATTGGTGCATTTTCAGAAGTGCAGTGTAAAAATAATGGAAACCAGATCAAAGTGTAACATTTTGGAGCAATGCTCTATGACTTACTACAAATTTTCTTAGGCCCTGTTTGCATGTAACAATAGCTATGTTTACATGCACAAAATGTTTTGATCGGATTGAAATGTATTCGGATTAAATAATATGAATGTACTGTTTACATGGACACAATCCGATCATGACAAGTGTTTACATGCACAGTGTTGTAAACTTTCAGCTCTACTACCGTGTTACAAACGTAAACAAAGCTCTTATGTGCGCTTAGGACGGACCCGTGTCAGCTTTTAATAACGGTAGAGATGTCGTTACTCCTCGGTTGAGTTGCAGATGAAGCAATACATGTTTTTTTTTATTTTATTTTGTTTGCGAAGCAACATCTGCTGTTTGTCTCCTTTTTTATTTGTTGAGAGAGGGTGGAAGAAAAATTCTGTGCGGCGCAGCGCAGCTGGAAACGCTGCTGCTCCGCCTCCTCTAAAGAGCAGAACTGGGTGGATAAAGTCAAAAAACCTGCGCACTCAGGTCAGTTTTCTTTAATCAGAATAAGATGATCTGATTAAGTGTTTACATGCACGTCATTCCGATTATCAATCGGCATAACCCACCCGACTCATTCGGATTAAAAATTCATTCGGATCGAGCTCAGTCAGATCAGAATAATCCGAACGGGCTGTTTACATGATGTATTTTTATTCCGAACAGCCGTTTAATCCAATTACTTGTTTCCATGTAAATGTAGCTAGTGTCTGGAAACGTTAGCTTTCTTCCAAGRTTGATTGTGTCAAATCAAATTGTGGCTGTTCAAATCCGCTGTACTTTCCATGCCAGGTTACTAGTTGATGCTATACAGTATGTTTTTGGACTTCAACAATTTAGTCCTAAATGTGAAAACATTTACATCCAAAATGGTGAACACATTAGCCTCTTTGACAAGACAGTTCTGCCAAACTGCAGCACAAAGCAGTCCAGCTTTAAGCTTCCTCAGTTCATTTGTAAATCCCAGGTTAAGTCAGCCAGTTCCCACTCACATTTATGCATTCAGAAATGAACCTAACAGCGCAGAATCAAAAGAGGCGTGGAGCTCGGCTGAAGTGGAAAGCGACATATTTATTGTGTGACAGACGTCTGTCTTGTATCAAAACAAAACCCAAAACAAACTGAATTAACTCACTTTAGCAATCCTGCGGCTCAATCTATTTTAAACTAACTACAAACTACACGTCAGCATGTCAGTAAATCTGTCATCAGGTCATTATCATTTTCTGAGCCAYGAAACYGTGGGTTGCTTTTTCACAAGTGGGTCTGCCTGGCTCGGGCCCGGCTTGGGCCTGGCTCTGATACTACCTCACTCAGGCACTCAGAGGGGTGTCAGAGGCAGGCTCATTTTGCCACCTTGCTGGCTCCGTGTTTTTTTTTTCTGAATGATCCGAGGAGGACAGAACATGCCTCAGTCCTGGATTGAGCTGTCTAATAAATGAGTCTATTAATGTTTATTTGGACCGCGGCTGAGTTAGGTTTGTTCCTACACATTGAAAAGGGTGAGTAGGACAAGCAACACTCTTCTATCTATATTGTTACTGTTATTTRTCTACTCRCACAGGCACAGAAAAAAGGTTGATTGCAGCCATTTGTAGTGTGCATGCTCAATTTCTCTGCAGGGGCCTTCTAAAAACCTCCACACTGGGACCTGGATTCAAACGCGTCAGAGAAAATGACCACTGTTTTTGTGTGCACAAACAGCAGAAACTCTACTACCAAAACAGAGTTGTGTAAACAGAGCCTTAGAAATAAAAGTGATTTGCAGCAAGTTTTAAAGCTTTCAGTAAAGCTGTCAATCCAAAATTCATCATACCCAAAACGAAAATGGCAATTAAGGAAACGTCTCCATGAACATTTTGTTTTGGATTTAGAGCCAAGAAACTAATGAATTAGATTAAGATAATTTTGCTTTCAGCAAACAAAACCCAAATAGGAAAGAAACAGTGTACAGTAAATGCAAATGAAACTCATTAAKTAATTATTAAGTTCCTGTAATTTATGACACAACTGTAGCTTTTATTACATCATTGATTATGACTGTACACCCCCACTGTACAATATAGATACAAAGTTTAGTAAAAGGCTCTGTCAGGCTGATAGTTCCTCCAAAAAAAATGCAATTGCTCATTTTCATTTTTYATTGTAGGTGATCACTACAGAAGTATGATATGATCCAATTCAAAATCAGTTTGTTCAATGCCAGTTTTTCTTGTTCCTCACTGTACTCCCAAGAAACCTGCAGAACACATCTTATWTGTGAAAGTATATTCCTGAAAACATTTACCGTACTGTATAGTGTTGTTTTTTTTATTTATTTATTTTTTGTCACTGAGGCTTCTACAAAACAAATTGATTATTATATAGAAATCACCTTTAGAAGAACTACTGGTAGCATCTGAGATAAATTTTTTGGTTGAGTGAGAAATGAATTTGTCACAATGTGCTGGTGAAGTTTTTGGAACAGCTGAGTGGGTATGAAGGGCAAACTCAAGCTTTAGTTTTTTATTTTTTTATCTGTGACATTTTCAGATCAGTCACCTTGCAGCGACAGCAAACTAAAGCTGTGAGTCTCTTTTTTTGTCTAATTATATTGACTTTGGAGAAAAACATCTTAATAATGCCACTGATGTTACTCCGTGAAAAGCTTTTTCGTTCTTGCAGTGGTGTAATCAGCCATGTGGGCTCTTATTTTCTACCACTCAGCAGTCACACATCAGAGTTAATAGCATTTATGATTGCTCACTGTGTACAGTAAATGTATAAAGGTGTTAATATCAAGTTTTAGGTTTCACAAGATATGTTATTGAAAGGAAAAAAGATCTTTGAAAAACACCCACTGTATTCATTCCATCAACATTTCTCATTAACAGTACTTTTATACCAAACACAAAGCTATTGTCATCATTTTATTGAAACATCATGCTGTACTCACAACATCTGACATCACATTTACATAGGATGGGGAGCTGCAAACGTATAAGGTCTGAGCTAGTACTAATTCTAAACATTTCATCAACAAGAATATCTTAGCCWTTTTATCTAATGTTTAACAGTTAGGTAATGAAAAGCTGATGAAATTCATGTGAGTGCTGATTAAATTTATAAAGGAAACTCAGAGTGCAGCAGGTAATCTTAAAGTGTTAAATGCACACTTGGTTGGTTTTCTTCTAAAAAAATGTAGTCATTTTTATGGCTGTTTTCCATTCATCTTGTACTTTTCAGCTACTGCCTATACAGTCACTGAGCATTAAAATTAATACATTTCACCTCTAATAATAACACTTTGTAACCCAGTATTTATTCCAACTTAGCAAATGTTTATCAGTCTGATATGTATTCTTTTGGAGGCAGTAGAAAAACGTTTTATTATTATTGTTTTTGCMATTAGGTTTGTAGAAGACACCTTCTATGCATATATAAGAATATTAATATATTTATATACATTACTCTGTGTTATGTTTAGATTACTGATAGCTCTAGTTTATTTATCCTTAGCTCAGATGTATTCATTTGTATCTAGGTTAATAGTACAGTTTGACCCTTTGAAACACACACAAAAATAAGACACAGTATTTATAGTTTATGTAGCTTTATTACAAAATAGGATATTTACAAACTGTTTACAAATCAATTAATAAAATATGGGTATGATGGTTCCAGTAGTTTATGGGGATTGGAGTAAGTGATAAAATATTGTAATGTCTAAAATATAGATTTATATTTTACGCTAACTCAAAGAAAATCAGAAATTAAATCTTTACTCAAATGATGAAGCAAAATAAAAGTATGTCTGAATAACAGGTCTATCTGTTAATAAACCAGAACAAATGTTAAATTATTTTGAAACCAAACTATAATGAGCAAGTAAAGATCTGGAGATCTGACCATCAGAAATTTCTTCCCACTAAAGCCCCTTCTTTGTTCGCACGCCTGTATGCAGTTCTTCTTGGTTCAGCCACGGCCAAATGTGTCTCCATTTCCGATTCCAACCACACATAGTTGTGCACTTCAAGACCTAAGAAGGTAGAACCAAGTACTACATGCTTACGATTTTGACGTCAGCAGAATTCTGCCCTTGGATTAGCTCTTGGATTGATTGACAGGAAAGRTGTTACTTGTGCAAACTTATACTACAAACTGTGGCGGCTGGCCCATAGGGGGCGCTGGGGCGCCGCCYTCCCTGACAAGAAGAAGAAGAAAAATGTAAAATATACTTTTATAAATCCAGTTACAAATGCTGGTTTTACTCACTAGTGTATGCCCACATGTAATGTGAATTATATCAGCTATATTCTCCATTGACATTTATTCACCAGTAAATTTCCACAAACTAGTTTTGTTTCTGTCATGGGGGGATAGGCAGAGAACCCCAGGACTACAGTCTTTCAACCAATCACATACAGTTGCTAGGCAGATTAAAAAATAAATTGGCCAGTCAGTGTTGCAGACTTTTATGGTCCTGGGGCTCTGCAGGTTTTGCCCTAGCAGCAGAGGTTAGAAAAAAAAAGCTCGTCATAATGCCGCAGGTCGCTAGGCGGTGTTTGGAGACCCATTGGAGAAATGGAAGAGCTAAAAACAACTCAGCTCAGTCTGTTAAAACAACCTTTTCAGAAGAGAACACACCAGGAGAAACTTTAAGTAGAAGGGCTCAGACCTGATCAGCAGGACATGGAAGAGACAAAGACAGAGGGAGAATTTACACTTTTCCAAGTCCTGGATTAAGCTAACTGTCAACAATTGAGAGAAAGACACATTTCTCTTCTGCTCTTTCTAAAAAATGCCAAGGATTATTTTAAGTAAAAAGAAAAAAAATTAAACTCTAAAATCTAGCTTTCTAATCCTCTCATCCACTCAAAAGTTAATAACAGCAAAAACCAAATGTAAAGATTGAAATGAAAAATTAATCTTTTCCACCTTCAGTTACTGAAATAAAATATGTTAAATGACACCTCACTGACTGAAGCAAACACACGTTTAAAGCATGAAATAATATGATGAATACATAACAAACAAAGAATGAAACAAGAAAAACAAATGTTTTTATGAGTTTTGTGGTTATTCGGAGTACCACAGAAAGTTTGGGACACAGAGTCAAATTCAAGAGAAGATCACTGTCAGATATGGAAGGGTCCAGGGTCCTCATTACCATGGTGATATGGTCAGAGGTCTCTGCCTGGCTGGAATTTATGACTGTAAGCCTAGACTGAGGAAAAAGAACAATTTCATGAGAGAGTGGAACACACATACATTGTCTGATAGTTGCAAAATTAATCCATGTTTGATGTCAAATCAGATTCACTAATCCTAACTTTACCAACAATACCAATCATAACTACACTGGCTTTTCTTACTTTTGAGACAAAAATAAAAAAAAATATATATACACCCTTTTTTAACATCATCTGTAGTAAACAAATGTGACACAACTTGAAAATATAAAAGATGTTGCTAGTTTATGTTTTCTTATCACACAGGAAAAAAAAACATTTAGCTGCCACCATGTCATTTTTTTTCCTTTTTTTTTCTGGTAGATCTGCTCTAGTCAACATAGACAGTTTCTGTCTCATTTTGTTAAAATATGGGTGTACAGACTTATTAAAAAGAACTGATCAAGATTTAAACCCAGCTAAGTCTTTGCAGATCAGATAAATCAACTTTTGATCTTTTTTTTTCAKTTTTACATTTATCTGATCTTGTATGCACATTTTAAACCAAAAGACAGAGGCTTGCTGTCGTGTGGTTTCTGATTTAAAGTGCGTCTTATTTATTTTAGAAGAAGCAGAATTACAAAATAACTTCAGTTTAAAATGTGCTTGGTTTAATTGGTACAATCGCATTACATTTAAGCTGAAAAGATTTAACAGAAATAAAAAATAAACAAATACAGAGCAACCAAGGGCTAGAACATAATGAAATACAGTCAAATGCAATTTATATTAAGGAATAACTGACAAAATAAAATTTCTACTATTAAACGAAAGCCCTAATAGCTAATCCTAAATTTTATTTTAGGTGCATTGAAGATTATAAGCGAGGTCCTGATGGGAGGTCATGTCTACCGCTGTCTGAAGCCTGCACTGAGGGGATAGACTGTGGTGAAGCGACAGATGTTCCAGCTAACCAGACAGTCTTTGGAGACCTTTTCTACGGATATAACAACCACACYAAAGAAAGCACCTCTGGACAGATCCTGAAGGCCACATTCAGGTAAGCACACAAGCTGTTAGTGAAGCGGGACATTGTTCAGCCAATTGTTTCTCAGCAGGGGAGCTGTTAGGGAGGGCTTGGCTCCTGCAGTGCTGACAACTTTGTGATGGATTTCTTTCAATCAACACACTCTAAAGGGGTTATGAAGAAATAGACTACAGTGGCAGATAGCCTATWTTATACATCCTATAAGCATCAGAAGTTGGTTGTTTTGTTATCTGGATTAAGAGATGTGCTGGAGTGGCACAATATAAAATCACACATCTATTTGTTCATTTTCTTTACCCACTTTTCCTTTCTGARTCRACGGGKAGCTGATACCTATCTTGAACAGCCACTGTGTGTGGAGCATGGTACAAGTTGGATAGGTCACAAGTCCCTCACAGACACCAAATTCTTCTTTTTCTTTTGGGTTTTCCCTCTTCAGAGGTCGCCACAGTGAGTCATCTTCCTCCATCACACTCTATGCTCACTTCAACTATCCTCTTTATCTGCATCTATCTTCTGTTGCCTTACTCCTCTTCTTTTTAACATCCTTTTATCAATATATCCATTGTTCCTCCTCTCCACATGTCTCAGTCTGGCTTCTTTATGTCCCAGCCCTTCAACCTGTGCTGTACCTTGGGTTGCACGATATTGGCTGAAAAATGTATCACAATTAATCATGGCATTTACTGTAGATGATAATGATTAATATGACAATTAAAAATGACAATTGCGCTTGCATTATTTTGACTCTAAATTATCATGTGTTCTAAAATTATATTTACAAATCATCATTCAAATTAACTTCTTCATTTTAACAGGTTAAAATTGTAAGCTGTTCATTGAAATCCAGCCTTTTCCACAATGTGGAATGACAGCATATCTTCAGTAGCACAATATGCAGCTGCACTATCTCCATCTACCTCTTACTTTGTTGCCCGTAAGGGACAGATTGACTGAGTGCATTGTGGATTATTGGCTGAGTATACTGTATTTGTTTTTCCAGTTGTTTGCCTCAGTTTACATTTTATTGCTTTTCTCGTACTCCAGTTTATGGCAGTATTTCAGGTAAGTTTGTATTGTTAGGGTTAGCACTCGTTACTCTGCGCTGCCATTGGGCTCACATACTTGCAACACTAACTGTAATAACAGCAAAGTGGCAAACATTAAATGGTGACAGTTTTTTTCTGACAGTTAATTGCACACAATCAATCAATCAATCGATCAATCAATCAATCAATCAATCAATCAATCAATCAATCAGTCAATCACCTTTACTTAACCAGATAAAACCCATTGAGATCAAGACCTCTTTTCCAAGGGTGACCTGGCCAAGAGGTCAGCAGCACACGTCATAAAGCAATAATTAAAAACAGTTTACAATTTCCAGCCTAACAATTGTAAGGGTTTGACCTTACACTTCTTATAACAAAAGTTATAAGGAAATTATTTAGCAAGGTTCTCTTATTTTCGGTAAGTATGTCTTCCGTGCAAAAGTGAATGGACAAAACACAATAAGTGACTTGGCTCAGTGAGTTTTGACAGGTCCATCAATAAATGCAATCAGTTATGTACACAATCAAACAAAATCCCTACAGTACACTTATAGGTGACAATTAATTTCCTACTATATAAGAAGTTTAGAATCAATAACAATGTAAGTGCACATCCTAACTTAACCAGATTAATCCAGCACAAAAAATAGAAGCAGCAAATATCAAGCTTAGGTCTTAAGTACCTGACCTTTGTTGGCACCTAACCAAGAGTTGGCAAGGCATGAGTTTAAGGTAAGGAGGAAAAGTAAGATATTATTTAGTTCCTAACCCATAAGATTATCTTTAAAGAATCTGAGGAACCAGAAGAGCAAGGCCTCTCTTCCTCGGTGTCGGCCAGAACAAGAACGCTCAGTAATAAAGCCAGCTTCTACCTTTGATGTCTGTCACCTGTCCAGGTATTTAGAAAGATCAATAGTCGGTACAGAAAATCCATTTAGATTCTCCCACCCAGTAGTGATCCTCCGGCACAAGTTACCCTTTCAGCGTCAGCTAGTTCCACGTTTAGATATCTTCTGATGAGAAACTCTTCAAAAAATGTCTGAAAGAAGGAATTATTTCAGTTTAAAGACATTTTCAAAATGATTCAGGCAAATAAGACACTGATGTTTCATAATGAACTTAAACCGTGAAGATTAGTTTAGTTAAGACATTTCCACAGAAAAATCCATAATATAGCTGAATCATACTAAGGGAGAAAAGCCTGTTCTCTTTTCTCCTGTAACTTTGATAAACAATGGGCCTCATGCAAGAACCGTTCGTACGCACAGATTTGTTCTTAAGTTGTGCGTACGAGTGATTTAGGAGAATTTGTGGCATTCACCAATG